TGCGCCCAGCTGCTCCCCGGGCCGTTCCCGTGCTGTCTCCTCGTCGGCCTGGCCCCGTCCCCCTCTCTCTGCCCGGCGCTTGCGGGACGCCTCCTGGTCCCTTCCGCGCGGCCAGGCGGCTGTTGGCCCCGTCCTGCCTCCCCCGGGAGGCCGCAGCACCGGGCACGGCCGCACCCTACTCCCCGACCTGGGGCTAGCCCTCCCCGCTGCCCTCCCCGGCCTGCCTTTGCTCCAAGTCCTCCCCCGAGCTGGCCTGCCTCCGGTCCGGGGGGGTCCAGGGAGGGCGCGGAGCCTTGGGGCTGCTGTCGGCGTGGGGACGCTGGGGTTCAGCTGGATTTGGGAGTGTGTGGGATGTGGAGGTTCTGTCCCTTGAGCGGCTGGCTGGGTTTTTTCCTCTGTTTCCGTAGGTCTGACCCAGCTCCGCAACCTGCTCCCGGGGCCCCCGAAGGGGGAGCTCCGAGTGGGGCCCCCCCCGGGCCGCCCTCTAATCAGAGCAGTAACCGTCGGCTGCAGCAGACGCAGGCCCAAGTGAAGGAGGTGGGTAACTCTGCCAGTTGTGCTGGCTCCCTGCAGGCTGCCTGGACTCTTCTACCGCTCTGCAGCAGTGACGGGCTTGACAGGGGGTGGATGCTTTTGTCGTGCCCATGCAGTGTGTTAATACTCTCTACTCAAAATAGGGTACATATTATAACTTGCAAAAAGGCTGGAGAGACCGTTTTATGTTTAAAAGCTGTTTAATTCCAGATATGACTTCTAAGGAACAGACCCGTAAGACTTTTAGTACCTCATCTCATGCATCTGTTATGGAAATAAAGCTGTACAGCACCTAGAACAGCTCTTAATTCCTGCCTGCTGCTTCAAGTGTGTGTGGTGTGCGGGGAACCTTGCCTGACTTTCCAGGGTCAGTAGCTGCTGACATGCAGTAACACCTTTATGCCTCACTGGGGCGGCAACATGTAGCTCTTAAGTTATTTTTGCAGTTCCCGGGGAATGAGTTTATGATTACACTCGTGAGCGGGGTGGTTGAGGCTTGTTGGATTTGAGAGCTTTTAAAAACAGACGTGAATGTGGGGCCGAGGACCTGGTTTAAGTGTACGCAAACCGATACTTTAACAGGGTGTCTCGGATTTTTATCTCACTTCAAAGTCGCCAGTGACTTGGGACCTGTTTCTTACTCTGACCTTTTTTCCTTGTTTAGGGCTTTCACTTTTTAGTATCTCAGTGTTAGTTATTGGCCAAGTTACTCCTCTTTTTCAAATCTCTTTACCAATATAGCTGTTACCACTATTCTTCCTTCTACAGGTGGTTGATATAATGTGTGTAAATGTAGACAAGGTGCTGGAACGAGACCAGAAGCTGTCAGAGCTGGATGACCGGGCAGATGCACTCCAGGCGGGTGCTTCACAGTTTGAAAGTAGTGCAGCAAAACTCAAAAGGAAGTACTGGTGGAAGAACTGCAAGGTAAGTTTCATAGGGCTGTGATCTCCTTTATCGGAAGTAAATTGGGCTAGTCCTCTATTGCAGGGCTTTCAGAGGATAGCTGGTGCTTAATAATGAGTCCACATGCTTAGGATTTGTTCATTGTGGAAGGAATTTGAGGCAGTGGCTAGCCAACCTTCAGGGTCTGGCTTATGTTCCCTGGCTGTCAGGGAAGATGTGAATTTGTCAATCTGTTTTGAGTATTACTCTTTGAAAATCTCTTTCTCCAGATGATGATCATGATGGGAGTGATTTGTGCCATTGTGGTGGTGGTGATTGCAAGTAAGTACTGAAAAGCCCAGGATCAAAGGTGAAGAACACCAGCTCTAGAGTGCTTCAAACACTTCCTTTTTCAGTTTGAGATCTGGAGGGTCTTTGTTGCATAAGTGTTAACCTTGGTCCTTGGAGAAGGGAGGTAGTGCTAGAACTCCCACACTTATTGTGGAAATGGTATGCTTTACATAGTAACAGAAGGAATTGGGGGTGGCCATCACTGTAGAAATGGGAAATTCTGTCTGCCAGGTCAGGTAAACCTGTAAGTATGAGGGGTATTTACCCTGGTGTGGGTGGGGTGGCAAGTCCCTTCCCTGGTGGGGGATTTGGAGGTCTCTGGGGGACTTTTGGTGTAACGTGCCCTTTTGTTCTTTCCTTTTTTTTTTTTTTTTTTTTCCCCTATTGCTTTGTCTCCAGTCTACTTTTTTACTTGAATGTAGCTCCTTCAAGTCTGCAACCTACTGTCCCCTGTCACCTTGCCTGTCTCTTCTTTCCCCCGATTCTTATCTTCCCTTCCACCCTAGCTTCTTCATTGATTTCTTTATTGGTTTTAATTTGTCTTCTGTATAGCACTCTGAATTGCTCTACTGAACATGGTTAGATTCTTCAACAGCTGCTGCAGCTTTAGGGAGGGTCCATCTGAGTTTAGAGGAAAGGGAAGTAGAGGAGTGGGTAGCTTTTGCTCCTGCTCTTTTGCAGGGAATTTTTCTGGTTTATTTTTGGGTGTGAGCTTGTCAAATAGTGCCTGTGTGGACTCTAGCAAAATAAGAATGCCTTAATGCAGTGCCTTTGGGGATGAAGAACTTCAGTGCGTGAGATTCTTTAATGTTCTATCTAAAAAGAGTGGCAGCATGTCTTAAGCTTTTCATTGAGCTTCTGAAATAAAGGCTAGTTTGTGTTGGTCAGTGACTGAGCTGGATGTAGCGATCTAGATTTCTCTAGCTGTGGAGAGATGAGCACTTAAAGAAAAAATTTATTCCACCTGTCCTTATCTTCAGGTGGCTTGCTGTCTGAACATGGCCGTTTTGGTGGTTATAAAGGAGAGCCTACATGATTACCTCAGTCAAGTGCAACAGACTGAACACAGTTAAGTGAAAGGAGTTATGTTACTATCCAAAAGGCATGTGTGGGAGTAAAATCTCCTGCCACAAGGAACAAAGCATCAACAGTGAGGAGCCTGGTAGGAGTTGTCAAATATTCCTTTCATCTATGCAGACACAAGCCAGGACTCTGCTTTCTACTATCTTGTAGCTTTCTGGAAGACTTTGGGGTTGTGGCAGAAGGGGAATGGGTGTTTTGCTTTTGTGTTACTGGATTGAATGTCAAAGGAAGTCCACTACATAGCAGATGAAAGTGAAGGAGACTGGAGGTATTCCAGATGAGACTGGATGAGCCACATAGCTTTCTAAGAATACCTGTTCTGTTCCTGCTACCACAAAGCCCTAACTTTCAGCAGGAGTTAGAAAATACTTAGAATGGTTAGCTAGGGATTCAAAGGGAGATGCTGCTCTGGGCATGGGTATTGCAACGTGACATCAGATGTCCCAGTTTAGCAGCTCAGATTTTGCCTATCAAACTGAAATCCTACTTGCTATGGGTTATCTTCAATTTAGATCCAGAGTGATCTCTGTTGGAAGTGAACTTGCAGCATGGCATGCTGTGGCTTTTTATAAACAATGCCCTTGTTCTACTTCATCAAAAATAACAAGAGCTGTGAATTGCCTGAATGTGTTCTCAAACCTGGGGTTAAATGAGCTGCCCTGTTCCTCAGTTTCTGCAGAGCCTTCTGAGGAATGTACTTTTTTTTTTTTTATTACAAGCTGAGCTGTAACCTGTAATCTAGACTGGAAAGAGGGCACTCCTTCAAATTAGGAAGCTCTACCTCGGTTCTAGAATACAGTGGGATCTGCCTAGGATTAAGGGCATGTAAGGAGGCAGGGGAGAACATCACTGGCATTCCCAGATGGGAGTGAAGTACAAAAGATGGGAGGAGCAGATGCTTTTTGTTTCATCTGATGTGCCGGGGAAGCCCCTTTCCTTCTCACAGGGCACCCGGGAAGGGGCTAGGTTTTGCATGCTCACTTCCATGCCCCAGCATTTCATTTGCGCTGAGTTCATCTCCCTGCGATTCCATCCCTCTCCACCTTGGGTGAGGGCAGAGATGAAGATCTGGAGTGAAGCAGCCCTCGTCCCCTGAGCAATTCCCTAATTCCCTGTGGAACTGAGATATGATGGACGGTCAGAAGTGCATCTACTGAAGAGGAGCCAGGGCCTGCTTGTACTACTTGCTGCTATCATTTTAGGGGGGTGGGCATACAAGCTTGAGGCACGCAGACCAGCAGTTCTTTTGAACTCTTCTAAACAAGCCTTTGGTGCCCCATTCCTCCTGTTTTTCTGGGAGCTGAGATACCTCTAGGCTGTCTCTTCCATTTCTTTCTCTTAAATGTTGTATGTTGCCTCCTCTTCTGCTCCCTTTCCCCTCCTTTGTGTCTCTATGCATGAGCAAAGCCCCCAAACACCAAGGCCCTCTGGGTAAAAGCAAGGGACTCTGCTGTCCACAGCATTACAGCCACTCAGGCATGTGCAGTTTATTTCCTTCCTCTATAAACACAACTGTAATCTGCTCTGGCATGTTATAGTAATCAGCTCATGTACTTTAAATGGTCTCTAAGAAACACAATTCATCACCTTACTGAGTCTGTCTGATCTGTCAGTGGGTGGGGAGGGGTTGGGATACCAAACTGGCTTTGGAATATTTTTTTTGTCACTTCCATACTATACACACACCTCAGGTTCTGGTCCTCAAAGCAGTGGCGGGTTTTCCATTGCAATTATGGTAGTTTCAGTTATACTGGAACCATGTGCTAGACTCTGTGGTAAGTCTGTAACAAGATGCATGAACCAGCAGCTGTGGGGAAGAGGCTCCCCAAACCAATGCAACTTCCAGCCACAGTAATGTGTGTGAACTGGGGTTGTTTAGTCTGGAGAAGAGGAGACCTCATTGCCCCTACAGCTTCCTGAAAGGAGGGTGCAGAGAGCTGGGGATTGAGTCTCTTGAACCAAGTAATAAGCAATAGGACAAGAGGGAATGGCCTCAAGCTGTGCCAGGGAAGGTTTAGACTAGATATCAGGAAGTATTTCTTTGCAGAAGGGGTTGTTGGGTGTTGGAATGGGCTGCCCAGGGCAGGGGGGGAGTCCCCATCACCGGAGGGGTTGAAGAGTCGAGTTGACCCAGCGCTGAGGGATCTGGTGGAGTTGAGAACAGTCAGTGTGAGGTTAATGGTTGGACTGGATGGTCTTCAAGGTCTTTTCCATCCTAGATGGTTCTGTGATTCTGAGTTAGTGCCCTGAATGGGAGGGTGTGTTCATTCCTCAGGCTGTGCTGCCTTTGGGTTTCAGTCACCTACCCTAAGATCCTTAAACCCAGAAAACAATTCTCTATTGGTGTTGGGACATATGTTCAGGATCCAAATGAAGACCTCTAAGAGTAGGATGCTGTTCACAGCATATCTTGGAGGATGGCTGGAATAAAGGTAAGTGGCTCCTTGTTTTGCTTCACTGTACCCTTGAAACTCATTAAAAAGAAATGACAGCACTTTGTCCAGTGCAGACTTCCTTTAAAATGAGGTACTTGTGCCCTTACCTGACTCTACTGTTATCAACTTTAGGCTGTAAAACAGTAATCCCTGTGGCTTGTGGTTCCCTTACAATCAGTCTTTGTCCAGTCTTAAACATCACCGAAATTACACCAGGAAAATGTATGGTCAGGGTGAATTGGAGCAATGCAGCTTGGCTAATGCTTTCAGAGATGAAAGGCTTCCCAGGAGAGGAGGGTGTCTGGACTGGCTGGTGGATTAAAGCAGCACATACAGTCAAAACTTCATCACAGATCAGGCCTTTACAACCTGAATGAACTAGTCATGCTACAGATCCTGCCAAGTTGTTGTGTGTTGTCATCTTGTTAGTTCCCAGTCTTGTTTCTGTAGGGGAGGGGTAGGAAAAACTTTTTCTTAGAACAGATGTGCTTCCAGACTCTTGACTACGCAGTCTCCAAACCTAGCGACTGAAGTGCTCACTTTCCAAAGCTAGCCAGTTGCTCTGGAGCCCAGAGGTGGGGCTCAACATGCGGCTGAAAGTTGCCCCAGGGTTGTGCCCAACTTGAGTCATGTTGTGCATGTTTGCAAAAGAGTTGCATGTCTAATCATAAATCCTCCAGTAGGCATTTAAAGCACCACGCTCTGCTGGGAACTCACTTTCTGAGGTGCCATCCTTTAAAGCATCAGCACCTCTCTTGCTCCTGCAGAGTCTGTTTTCCTGGACAAAACATGGTTTTAAATATGCACTAAAAGCAAGGATGAAGCTTTGGCAGAGTAGTTCTTTGTATGTCGAATTAGAAATTCAAGCTTTGCCTTTAAACATCCAGCTCCTATATCAAGTGCAGATTTGGTGGGGAAAAAGCCTCAACTATACTGCTTTTCCATGGATATGCCTTAAGGCTTCATGTTTCTGTATGCCTTAGGCTTGCTTTGGACTTTCCTGACGTTCCTATGCACTGATCAAACTAGGCTGCGTGTTCTTATCATTAGGCGTGGGGGTGGGTATTTCTTCTCTCAGTGGGAGAGTAACCAAATGGTGGTGGGGAAGACAAAAGATTTCTCTTTAGAGTAGGAACACTGCATCAACACTTGTTTAATGGACCTAGCTTCCCTGTGAAGTGACGGAGGTCCCGGCTCTGACTTACCTACTGGGGTTGGAAGCCTTAAATTGGTGAACAGAAGCAATAGTGAAGTAAGAAGTGTTTAGCTTTGTTCTGACCTCTAAGCAAATAATTACACTCCGAGAGATGTAACAGATAAGGATATAGGCTTTACAAAATAGGCAACTCATCTGTGCCTGGATACAGATGTTCTGGAGTTTAGCCCAGTGTTTCTTCCAGGTACCTATAATGCTTGCTCTTGGAAGAAGTAACTGGATCCCTTCACGAAACTTTCCCCTTTACAGGCTGAAATAAAGTTGCACTTCAGCTTTCATACTTTCGATAATCTTTGACTTTTTTTTGCTAGAGATCTTCAGAACACCCTTATTTGCTCCTCAGGTTCCCAGTTCCTGACAGAGCTTTAAACTAGATTTGAAGGGGGAAGGGGGCAAAACAGTCCATCTGAAGTGCATATATACCAATGCACACAGCATGGGTAACAAAGAGGAGCTTGTAGTCGTGATGAAACAGGAAAATTATGATGTTGCTATTACAGAAACATGGTGGGATGTCTCCCATGACTGGAGTGTGCCAATTGATGGGTACAAGCTCTTTAGGAGAGACAGACAGGGAAGGAGAGGTGGTGGGGTGGCGTTGTATGGTAAGGACTGCTATGATTGCTTTGAGCACAGGTGTATGAAGACAGGGTGGAGTGTCTTTGCATTAGAACCAGGGGGAAGGCCAACAGGGCAGATGTTATAGTAGGAGTCTACTACAGGCCACCCAACCAGGACAGAGAGATGGATGAGATAGGCGCTTAGGTGAAATCTCACGATCGCTTGCCCTTGTTCTTGTGGGGGACTTTAACTTCCCCGACATCTACTGGGAATAAAAAACAGCAGAACGAGACCAGTCCTGGAGATTCCTAGAATGTGTGGGAGACAACTTCCTGACGCAACTGGTGAGTGAACCGACCAGAGAAGGTGCCCTGCTGGATCTCCTCTTTGTGAACAGAGAAGGGCTGGTGGATGACGTGGAGGTTGGAGGCCAACTAGGGCACAGCTATCATGAAATAATTCTCTATTCTTAGAGAGGTCAGGAGAGAGCTAAGCAGAACTGACATCCTGGACTTCAGAAGGGCTGACTTTGTCTTGTTTAGGCACCTGCTTGAAAGGATCCCCTGGGAGACTCCTGAAGGGTACAGGGGCCCAGGAAGGCTGGGTGCTCTTTAAGAAGGAAGTGTTAATGGCTTGGGAGCAGGTGGTCCCCAGGTGCTCTAAGAGAAGCCGACGCCAGAGAAGACCACCCTGGCTGAACAGGGAGCTTTGGCTGCAACTCAGGAAGAAAAGGAGAATTTAGAGCCTTTGGAAGAAGGGGCTAGCCACACACAGTGATTACAGAGAGGCTGTGAGGCTATGCAGGGTGGAAATCAGAAGGGCAAAGCCCAACTGGAAATTAATTTGGCCTCTGCAATCAAGGATAACAAGAAAAGTTTCTATAAGTATGTCAGTAGCAAAAGAAAGTCCAGGGAGAGTCTCCATACCCTGCTAGATGCAGGAGGATATTTGGTAACAAGTGATGAGGAGAAGGCTGAGGTGCTTAATGCCTTCTTTGCCTCAGTCTTCAATAGCAAGGTTGTATTGATGAATATCCAGCCTCCACAGCCAGAATACAGGGACTGGGAGAATGACCCCCCTGCAATCCAGGAGAGAGTCAGTGACCTACTGCATCACACAGACACACAAGTCTATGGGACCGGATGGGATACACCCGAGGGTGCTGAAGGAGCTGGCTGGGGTGCTCACCAGGCCACTTTCTATCATTTACCAGCAGTCCTGGCTGACTGGGGAGGTCCCGACTGATTGGAAATTGGCCAATGTGACACCCGTCTATAAGAAGGGTCGGAAGGCTGATCTGGGAAATTACAGGCTTGTCAGTTTGACTTTGGTGCCTGGGAAGCTGATGGAGCAGCTCATCCTAAACACCATCATGCAACACATGCAGTACAACCAGATGCTCAGGCCCAGTCAGCGTGGGTTTATGAAAGGCAGGTCCTGCTTGACAAACCTGATCTCCTTCTACAACAGGATGACCTGCTTATTGGATGAGGGAAAGGCTGTGGATGTAATTTACCTTGACTTTAGCAAGGCTTTTGACACCGTTTCCCACAGCATTCTCCTGGCAAAAATGACTGCTTGAGGTTTGGACAATCACACACTTCGCTGAGTAAAAAAACTGGTTGGACGACCGGGCCCAGAGAGTTGTGGTGAACGGAGTTAAATCCAGCTGGCGGCCGGTCACGAGTGGTGTCCCCCAGGGCTCGGTGTTGGGGCCACTCCTGTTTAACATCTTTATTGATGATCTAGACAAGGGGATCGAGTGCACCCTCAGTCAGTTTGCAGATGACCCCAAGTTGGGTGGGAGTGTTGATCTGCTGAGGGTAGGGAGGCTCTGCAGAGAGACCTGGACAGGCTGGAGCCATGGGCTGAGCCCAACTGGAGGAGTTTCAATAAGGCCAAATGCTGGGGGCTGCCCTTGGGCCACAACAACCCCCAGCAGCGCTACAGGCTTGGGGAGGAGTGGCTGGAGAGCTGCCAGTCAGAGAGGGACCTGGGGGGGTGATTGACAGCTGGCTGAACAGGAGCCAGCAGTGTGCCCAGGTGGCCAAGAAGGCCAATGGCACCCTGGCTTGTATCAGGATTAGTGTGGCCAGCAGGGACAGGGAAGGGATCTTGCCCCTGTACTTGGTGCTGGTGAGGCCGCACCTTGATTACTGTGTTAGTTTTGGGCCCCTCACTACAAAAAGGACATAGAGTTACTTGAACTTGTGCAGAGAAGGGCTACAAAGCTGGTGCAGGGTCTGGAGCACAGGTCTGATGGGGAGCAGAGGGAACTGGGGGGGTTTAGTCTGGAGAAGGGGAGGCTGAGGGGAGACCTCATCACCCTCTACACCTCCCTGAAAAGAGGGTGCAGAGAGGGGGGTCTGAGCCTCTTTAGCCTAGTAGAAAGTGACAGGACAAGAGGGAATGGCCTCAAGTTGTGCCAGACAAAGTTCAGACTAGATATTAGGAAGTATTTCCTTACAGGACGGGTTGTTAGGCGTTGGAATGGGCTGCCCAGGGAGGTGGTGGAGTCCCCATCCCTGGAGGTGTTCAAGAGTAGGGTCGATTCAGAGCTTAAGGATATGCTGTAGGTGGGAACTGTGCTAGGCAAACGGTTGTACTAGATGATCTCCAGGATCCTTTCCAACCTAGATGATTCTATGAATATGAAACAGCCCCATAATTATCTTTACTTCAGTGCATAGACCTGCTAAATGATTCTTGCAGAGGCCAAAATGACTCTTTCTTCTCATGTTCTCTCCTGCCAATCATCTTTTCTAAAACCTTTTGTACTGTTTTTTTAAATAAATTTGCCACGATCTCCAGATACTAACCTTTTTTAATTCATTGCATTTTAAACATGTACTTGAAAGGTGCTTTCCGCTCTTGTGCTCATTAGACTCCTTTAAATACTGCACGTTGCTAAGTATAAAGAACTGCAAGACTGAACACAGCCATCCCTCTGCTGTACTTCTGATCTCTAAAGTTCCCTTCTGTCCTTTTACCAACAGCACTGCTGCCCTTTTCATTTCTTGATGTAGCACATCTCCACCCCTTAGATTTTATTCAACCTGTCTCAAGAGCCTTGTAACTTTCCTCAAATTCCTTCTAGGTTTGACTGAAGTCTGTGCAGAGAAACCTTGCACCTATTTGTGCAGCTTCTCTAAGCACTCCAGTAAGCAGAATTTAATTCTTCTAAATGTACCGCTTATTTTCCGAAGCTGGTTTCTGGTTTTCTCATTTTTCTAGCTTTTCTAGACATGTTGTACTTCCATGTATTTCCCCTATTACCTTAATTATTATGGGAAAAAATAGTTTTGTTATCTGTCAAATTGTGACTGTCATGCTCAAGGAACAAGTTTTCAGCAGATAGCAGGGTATGCCTGCCTGTAGCACTGTCCTTGCGTTCCCTGCCTTCCCAACCATCCTGTGCTTTGTTTTCCTTAGTTTTCCTCCTTCCTGGAGGGGCTGGCCCATTCTTTCCTTTCTTCCAGTATTTCTTCCCATTCCCCCAGCCCCACTACAGGCCAAACTTCCTCAGAGGTTCTTAGATCCTCCAAGTTCATCTGATCTCGCAGTTGGAGCCCTCAAACTTCAGTGTCCCTACATTTCCCAGACTGTCTGCACCCTTTTCTTTGCTAGCACGTGACTTCCAAATGCTTTTAACCCATGGTCAACCTGCAGATGTCAGCCACCAGGATGCTGCAGCCCCTTATACCCCATCTCTCTGGGTTGTTCTGCATCCCATAAGAGCTCACCTCTTGCCTTGTATTTTAGCAATACCAAACACTTCCACAGATCCTCTCCTACCATCTTTAAGCTTCTAAACACTCATCCCTCTTCCTCTGTAATTTCTCCATTGTATAAACCTTCCTTTTTCTCATCCTCGTTCTTTTCCTTAAGCATGTGGAACTACCCTTTTCTGTGCTGCATACTCCTGCAAAACCACTTGAATACTCCAGCTTACCCACAAAATTATTTTTCTCCTGCACTTCCCTTCCCACTTCAAGCACTTGTATTCCTACTCTGCCTTCCCCTACATGAGGGATGCTTCCAGTCCAAAAAGACACAGCTTGCTTTGCTTCAGTGACCTAGGACCTGCAGTTGTTCCTGTCCTTGTCCTCCAATTAACTGCACTATAACATACCTACAACTACTGAGCATTTACATCCCCTCAACTTTCTCTTCTTGCACAAATTCACCCCCACTCAGACCTTTAATTCCCCTTTTGCTGACTTACAAATCCCTTTAAATGCACATTTTCTTCCATTTTCTCTAATATTTCACTTTCTCAGTGAAGCATTCCATTTTCTGCATTCTCATTCCAGCACTGCAGGACTCCTTGTTTCCAGCCAGACCAAGCTCACTCTACATCTGGTAGATTCGTGGTCTTGTCAGCCTAGAAGTGTAGGAGTGTTTCTGTGAGGATCACCTGATTTCTCTCAAGATGACAATTTTTGCACTGATCCTCAGGACAGGGAGGACTAATCTATTTACTAACTTATATAACAGCTTCATCTTTGTACAGGCTTTTAACTCTGGATTTACAGCTACCCAGAATGGGCCCAACACTTTGAGTTCATCAGCCACAGCAGTTTTGGTTTTGGGTTTTTTTTTCCCATTTTAATGCTTTTACGGAAGAGAGATAATATGGTGCAAGCTTCCCCTAGGGAATACATCACCTTCTTCTACAGCTATATTTATTTATGGCATTGAAGAGAATTTAATGTTTCAAGTTATGCCTCTGATTAATCTTTCTTTAATTACTTAACTATGTGTGATGCAGTGGGTCACATCAATCTTATGGTTATCACAAAGTGTGATGTGAAGAATCATGTCTTACTCTTTGGATATTCAGGAAAGATCATGCTCGCCATATGAATCATCTTATATACAGAGACTGTTTTAGATGTTGCACTTGCTTCTTCTCTTCTTGATTTGGAGGTGCTCTTGTGCAGCAAACAGCTTGTGTCCGGTGTCAGGTTTTTACTTCCTTTAAAATCTCCCATAAACACAGAAAGTGGATTTTTTTATACTTGTAGATGTTCTGATCTTTTTCCAGCAGGGTGTCTCCCAGGGGAATACATGTTCTCATACCTAAGTGCCAACAGTTGCAAGGTGCTCCCTCCTGCTAGGCTGCCTACCTTGCTGGAGGACAGCCCCTGAATCTCTTGCTTCTATTTCCAGTAGAGACAACATTTCCCCTTTCAAACAAGGGGCATCAGCTGAGCACTGGGATAAAGTTTGAAGAACCATGAATATTTGTGTAATAAAAGAATATAGTGTTCATGTCTGAGGAGAAATAACTCTCTGCTGGGAAGTGGAAAGTGCATTTAGGTAACCAAGGCAAGAGCAGTACAAGAAGCATGTGTTTAACATCTCAAAGGAAAGAATTAGGTAACAGGTTACATAGTGCAGTAAAATCCTCCAGATTCCCAAGGGCAGTGCATCTACCTTAGTTTTTTAAATATCTGAAGTTTTTCTTTGGTTATGATTAACTAGTTTTTAAATTCAAAAGAGGCTGTTTGTAATGTGATTGGGTACATGGTACCACAGGTCTCTGCCTAAACTAGATGCTTAAATTCTGCTATCTGTGTGTGCCTGGTCAAGTGGATAATCCTGTTTGTTAAAGACATCACCCTTGCTCTTTTGATACCACATAAAGTGCTGTGTAAACACCATTGCAATAGAAGTCTGAGTATTTGTATGGCAAGATTACTGCAAGAAGTAAGATGTGTGGTCTTCTGAGAAGATTCCCAAATTATTTCCTGGGAAGATGACCATCTTTGTCCTGGCTTTGATTACCTATGCAGTCTATTCCAATAGGCGAAAGCTTGCCCTGAAAGGATCTTAGATTATAAAGTCTGCACAACTTCTTTGCTTCACACTCCTCAGGAGAGCCTCTGTGGGTGAACCAGAGAAGGGTTGAGTGGAGCAGAGCAGGCACTGCATGACCTGTGCTATCCTGATCCTCTTGCTTGATTTCATGGCAGCAGAGATAGTGTTTGGGATGTTTCTGAGGGCTTGCATAGCTGACTTGTTTCCATATATCCTATGTAGAGATCAGTTTATCCTGAATGCTCTGGCAAATGGTTCAACATATGTGTATGGTATATGACAGGGAAGGAGGCTGCTATACAGCTAATATCGGCCAGCGTCATGTAAGCAACTTAAAAAGGGAGACCTTGTTCTGCCAGGGGTGTTTTGTCCTGACCTGAGTGACAGCAACCATCAACCACATCCCCAGAGTATTGTGCATAATATAGATTGAGGTTATATGAGTGGCTGTCATCTCTTGGGGCTATACAAGTAGCCTGTCCTTGGGGGGAGGAGAGGGTGGGTGGCTTGGTTTTGGGATCAGAGCTGGACATTAAGAACTAGGAAAGAGCAACTGGTTTCCAACCTTAGGGAAAACTTAATAAAGCTCAGCCTGTTGAGAGACTTGTACCCCAGTTAAGACTCCCCTCCTGTCCCATGTTATACCACAGAGGAGGCAGGTCACACCTGCCAAACTTCTTTAATTAACAACAGACCAGAACTGCGGCAGCATCCTTGTTGCAGGGAAAAGCATGCAAGCATGTGTAGGTGTGCACATGCAAGGAGTGTAAGGAAACCAAGTGGACATCTCCCCGATATACACACTAGATCAACTCAACCCTGGAGATCCCCAGAGCAATAGTATTTTGTGAGACTGAAGGATTCACCTACAGTAGTAAAAGCAATGAACCCAGGCCAACCACAGTGCAGCCTTCTGCTATAGTCCAGGTACAGGACCCCAGAAAGAACAAAATGCCACAGAGAAAGTGTGCAGTCTCTGATCTAATTGCCACCCATCCGAGCTGTGAAATAAGCCACTGCCTCACTCATGTCCCACCTCGCCATCCCTGCTGGGCCTGCGTGGTTCCAGGCTGTTGTAGGATGGCAGCATGGTCACAACAGCCTCCACGGTGAAGCGGTGTGGAGCGCTGAGACCTGGCGCCTCGTCTTGGAAAGCGGTGTTATCGTGACTGTTTGGAGCAGGTCCTGGTGGGGAGAGCTGCTGCCGAGAACGGAACCAGCGTAAGGCCAAGATAAAGGTGATGGCAATGAAATCCAGAATCAGCTCTGCAAGCTCCATCACAGACAGGACAGAGGATCCAAACCAGAGACTCCACTGGTTTCCAAGCTGGGACAGCAGAGTTACTACCTGTAAGAGATGGAGAAATGGCAGTGAGGACAGCCCTTGTTTGAGCCTTTTACTTCCTTGCCTGCTCCCACAAGCAGTGCTCCCATGGTGATGGGGGGTTTCTCCCACCCTGCCACAGCAGAGACTTGATAGCCAGCAACGCTGCTGGAGCAAACGCCTGCCAACATGGAGGAATGGGTGGCTAGAGAGGACATGGCAGTAAAGTGTGTACCGTGAAGGCTGGAGACTCCCCATTGGTCTTGTAGTTCCATTCCTCATAAAAGATATTCACTTTGGCAACTCCATTCCTGTAAATAAAAGATGGGGCTCAGTAACCCCAAATCTGCAATCCTGGCATTTCTTCACCAAGCATAACTGTTTTCTCTGTCCCTTCTGCCCCCCCGTTCTCCTCCCACATATACCACCCAGAGGCTTTTCCCCATCTCTGTAGTTCCCTCATTCTGCACTAAATAGCGTCTTTGGTACTTAGAGTGCACTTCTGAGACTGCACTGTGAAACCCAGTGTTTGTGACATCCTGTGCTGGCTATGTACAAGCTCCTGTGTCACTCTCCATCCCACTCTTCCACAGGCCCTTACTGGGATTCCAGACCACACAGCAGCCTCCTGGGACTATTTTCATGCTAGCATCTGATCCTTTTCAGATTCTTCACTTGGATTCCCAGTTCTTGTCGAAGTCTCAGTTTATCTCTACTCTGACTCAAATCCACTGGCCTTGTTCATGGGTCCCATGCCTAATCTCTTCCCATCAGTGATTTAATCTTAACTCTGACCTCCTAATACACACACACATTCCACTGGGATGGTTGCTGGTTTGGATGGAATCTCTGTTTACGGGCTCTCACCTCTTGGATGTGATATTGTATTTGTTCTGCTGTGAAAGCATGTAAAAAACCCAGTCCTGAAATGAAAGTGCCATACGTTGTGTTACATGATCACAGTTATCTCCTGTAGGTTTAGTACACACAGAATCACAGAATCATCTCGGTTGGAAAAGACCTGAAGACCATCCAGTCCAACCATTAACCTCACACTGACCGTTCACAACTCCACCAGATCCCTCAGCGCTGGGCCAACCCAACTCTTCAACCCCTCCAGGGATGGGGACTCCCCTCCTGCCCTGGGCAGCCCATTCCAACACCCAACAACCCCTTCAGGAAAGAAATACTTCCTGATATAGTATCAGTTAAGGAAGGACTAAACAGGAAGCAAGAGCAGGAGCCAGGGGAGCCAGGACACCCTCTTCTTACCTCTGAGACAGCAGAAGGCCAACGGGAGTATCCAGCTGACAGCTGGTATTCTGTCATTCTGGAAGACAAGAGGCCATGTTAGTTGTTGAAGCTGTAGGTGCCACAAGGTCAGGTCTCTCAATCCCCAGGCACAGCTGGAAACTCCCTCCCATGCTGAAGTTCTGCCCACTTCCCACTGAGCTTCTGCTTAGTCCTTGGGAGCTCACCCCCAAGCCGACACTGATGCTCCTCAGCCATTTTGGCTTCCTGATGGGAGAAATATCATTTTGGGTTGCAGCTCAGTTACTGACTCAAGCTTTTACCCTCTTACCCTTTGCTTTCCAACACCTCTAGGAATAAAGAGTTTCCAGTCTGCCCGACCAAACTTACTTGCAAGGCTTTCGACATTTGTGAAAACAGCCCAGCACATCAGCTTTGAATTCAGCGAGGAGTTTGTAGTAGCAGTAGCCTGAGCAGCAGAGAAAGTAAATCCAGGTAAGCTCACATATCTGTATACAAAAGGTCATGTGCGACAGTGAGGGGAATCCAAGAAGGTTTCCTTCCACAGGCTCAGAGGGACAATGGTCCAAGACAAGGGTGTTTTTCTGATGTCCCACACCAGGAAGCTCATTGAAGACAATGAGGAGATGTGCTGGGACATGAGGTGGACCGAACAGGTTCAGGTGGGCATGAGCTCTGCTGTTCCTTTTGTCCACTTACCCCAGGCTACGTGCTTTGTGTAGTCGCAGTACTCTGCTCCAGTGGGTAAGGGATAGAAGTAATATGCACAGCCACAGCGCTCTACCATGTTGAGCTGAAAACAGGAACGAATGCAGACCTGGGAGGCATATAAGGTGGAAAAGGCTGAACAAGGAAACCCAAACCCACTGCAGCCTGTATCGCATCATACTATTAACAAAGCCCATGGACAAGCATGGCTGTTATGGGACTGAAGCATTTCAGGGAAGCTGTGAAACAAGCTGGCACAGAACCAGTGATAATGAGTTACCTGTTCGGTGTAGCGGGATGAGTACAGATTTTGCACTGGCACGTCACTGCCATCCTCTGTGCAATCACTGTAGCTGCCCCCAAGACGCACAGTCATCTCCTAAAATATCAAAGTTGTTACACAGAATGACAGGCACTTTGCGATTCTATTTCTACGCTTCCATGCCACACGCTCCTCATCCGTCAGTATCTGCTCTTTACGCTTTCCTTGAGACACCAGCCCCCCCTGCTTTCCTCCACTTCGTTGTTCACTGATAAATTGCAGCCAAATGCTTCTCATCTAGTCCAGTAAGCTGCTTTTCCTTGCCTCCCTTCACTCCATGTGATTAATCCCCTCCCTGAAATGCACACCGGGCCCATGACAACCCATCTGTGTCTATCCACCAAGTTAAACCTCCCCTGTAACCTCACACTCACAGCTCTTACCCCTCCTGCTTCCTCACCTTTCTCATGCTGATGGAGGTCTCGATACCAGGACGCACGTTGAAACCCCCATCATCCATGAAGGCTGGCTCATTCTGATCGTGGACCATGACCCGGGCTCCTGTCACCGTGGACAGCAGAGGGATGAAATCATTCTGTTCAGTGCGCACCACCAGAGAGAGACCTGAGGAAATGTCAGAGAGCGAGGGAGGTCATGGCTGGCCACCATGTGGGAAAGGAGAGACAGCAGAATGGTTAGAAGTGAGTCCATAAGAGAGAAAGGAAGAGAAACATCAACCAGGGCTGCATCAAAGCTGGGCAGCAATGGAAGGTGGCTGGAGGGAGTCCACAGACAAAGCTGGAGGCTCCGGTAGAGGCCAGAGAAAACTGGATTTCTTCACTGTGGCTTAGAAAAAGCAAAACAGGGAACTGAGAGAGATTTCATGGAGAGACTTGGAGCTGGATGGAAGAAAAGCCTGAAGATGGGGCCTAGAGAAGTTTCAGGGTGTTTGGGAATAAACAGTTCTGTTGCTGGAAACAGAAAATGGGGAAGGAGGAGGTGGAGACCAGGCTCTTAGCAGCACAGCACTACAGCTCAACAGGGGACTTCAGGAAGGGTACAAGTCCAGAAAGAGCAACAAACATAAGGATCAGGCATTGATGGGAGGGAGCAGCAGTGGAGACAGCCATGTCCATGAGACAGCAATTTCCACATGGGTGGCAACAGAGCTTGGTGAGACAGAGCAGGGCTGCAATCCACCACCACCAGCATTAGGCACAGCAGGATGCCAGTAACTCCTCGGGAAAACAGAGCTAAGCTGTTCTCCTTACTCACCAAAGAGTGCCTCTCACCCACCATTATTGATCCCGGGCAGCGAGGACGTCCACAGGCTGCTGCTGTTGTCGTTAAAGGTATAGCAGTTCCCATACAAGGGATGGTGGAAGTGGGTATAATTCCTGAGAGGGGAACAGAAACGTTTACACAAGGTGAGAAGGGCTGCAAGACCAAGGGGAAGGGCTTTCTCAAAGGAACAACTCTGTTTTCCACCTGCACAGAGAGGGGCTTACAGCAGATGGGCAGTATTTGTTATGTAAACTCGCCCAAAGGGTAAAACCAATTAAAATATGCTGTAAAAAATGTCCTGGAGCTGGACAGGTTTTTCATACTGCTAACTCTTGAGAGCCCAAGTGGGTTTTAGCAGTACTAGCAATCACTGTATTATCCTCCTAATACTGACAAAATTCTTAGCTCTTCCTACCCCTTTTCCTCCCTTGCTGATGGACTTCATTCCACTACCTCTTCGGGGCATTTTGACCACTAATGGCAGGAGAGAAGTGGGATGGTTTTTTACTGTCTTTTTGTAACAACTCTCTCTTCTCCTCCTCCTGTATGTGGGCTGATATGTACCACTTTATCACTGTAGAAAGTAAAATAAAGAGACTTCTACACTGTACATTTGTCCCATGCTGGGGTTTGTACCAGTGTAACTATTTCACTTGCATGAAACCCAGGAAAAGGCAAAATCATCCTCTGAGGTCCATAGTTTCAGGTCACAGAAACTGTGACCCTGGTGAGCATAACCCACAAGAAAGACTCAAGAAACATAATTTGAGACAATGGGAACTGAACAAGGAACGATCCCACCTTGGGAAAGAGGTTCTCTAATGTGGGTTTCTTGATTCCCCTCGAACCCAGGCACAAAATAGGGGTGTTTTCAGGAAGACTCGGTGGGATGTTTCCACCACTTACGCCTTGTCACACGTTGCTTCATTGAAGCGGCAAGCATAGATGAAGTTCTCAAAGTCAGACTCATCCAGGTCTTTCGCATCAGGCATCTGTGCCAGGATATTGATGTAGTGAAAGCTGTACCATTCCCGCACGGCATCCACACCTGAGGAGTACGCCTGATGGAAACAGTCCTTGTTGTTTTCACTGCACTGTTAACAAGAGAAGGAGAAAACCACCTGTGTTAGAGAAGTCTCATCCAGGAGGTGAGGTTATGCCCGTGGATTAGCTGTGCTCCCTCAGCACGGGCAGGAGATGAACCTGAGGGAGTGGAGGAGCTCCGCAAGGTTCCTGCGCTTGACCAAAAAGACGATCAGCAGGATGCAAAAAAGCAAACCTAGGGCAGCTCCTCGGTAGAAGGAAAACACCAGATGAATGAGTAAGGCTGAGTAAAACCTAGGAGACAGCATTTCGCAGTGATGTGTGCAGGGTGATCTGCTGCACCTGTGTTCTACCAGAAGCTTTAAATTCTTGCCTTCAGGGTGTGTCCAGAAAAACGTTGTGATCCTGTGAGAACTCCAGTTAACTGGCAAGCCATTAGCTTCAGTCCTTTAGTGCCTTTTTAAATGCAAACGCAGATACCCTAGGGCAAAGAAACTGCTACCTAAGAGCAAATGCAACCATGAACACATTGCACCTGGCCCCCAGCCATCCAATACTTAGCTATTATTGGCCAACACTGCAGTTGATGTTAATAATTGGTTCTCCAAAGGCAAGTGCAAGGCTGATTAGCCTTCAGGAAGGACGAGGTTTTTCTGCTCTACATATGAAAAGATGGGCACTGATGTGGGCAAGTGTCCTGGGGCCCACAGGGACAGGACTTGGGGAGCAGGACTGCATCGGGCAAAGGATTCAGCTCTACCTTTATTTGTCATTAGCAAAAACCACTATAGATTAATCAGACTTCTACACAGGGAAAAGCATGGCCAAGGGCCTAACAAGTAACTAGGCAGAGACCAGAGTGGGTAGGACACGGGGTATCTAGGGATCTCACCAGAACAAAGCCAATTTTCCAGTCATTCTTGTCCACTGAGGGACTGTTCTCTGGCAAGTTATCGCGCTTCTGTCTTCTCAGCGGATGGCGCTGGACATGATGGAGCAGGCTCCTTGAGCTACGTGTTTGCGTGGATGGTGCGGACCCGTCACTTCGTGCCAGAGACATGTTGTAGTCATAGAGGTCTAGTAGTGTCTGATGGGTGATTTGGTCCAGCTTGTCCAGCTTCTTTCGGATGGCACTGTATCTATACGGGTGGGAGGGGGGAAAGAGAGGAGCCCACAGGTTTAGGGCTGGATGCACATAAACAGCTCTGAATAAGAGAGGTGGCAAAGTTTGCTGGGGTGACTCCAGGCATCCCTGCTGCCAGCTGCAAATGCAACCCCTTGCTGGAGGCCACCATCCTTGTAGGAGAGAAGTAAACCCATCTGCTTTTACCCTGTGGCAGTTTACAGTGCAGCCTGCTAACACACCACCACGTAGAGCTGCTTAAACTAACATGCCTTCCTGTGAATGCCCTGCAGCAGCAAAGGCCTATGAAAAGTGTCTTTTCTCCTGGCTTGGCTACAGAGTGGGATGGTCATGGACCACGAGAACAAGAGTACATGCTTTTATCCTATGCCTGTGAAAGCCAAGGCAGTTGACAGCTCTGGGAGTCTGTTTCTTACCTGTACGGATTGAGGGTGCACAGCGTCACGGCTGGGAAAGTCAGCCTGTCGGAGTTAAGGTTGAGGTTGAGGTTGACAGGGTAGCTGAAGTACTCCCTGTAGAGGATCCCAAACTGCCAGTACATTAAGCCAAAGGTGAGAAAGAAGAGGACAGACCAGAAGGCTGTCTTCATCTTATTCTTTTTGGAGCACACCAGGCGGATAGCCCCATGGATGGTCGTGTTGCTGCAAAAGAACTGGAATAACTCCTGGTAGGAACTGTAGAATTCGATGAGACCCTCCCGCTCATCTTCTTTCTGCTGCTGTTGCTCTTCTTGCTTACACTGCCTCGTTTTCTCCGCATCTGGCATCTTCCCTGTCTTCACAGACCCACCCTACGGCACAAACTCAGAATGAGGAGGCAACCCGGGCTCCGGGAAGCCGTGCCCGGTGCAAAAACTCTCCCTGCACCACCACCTTCCCAAAACCTTGATGCGTTCGCCCCCTTCTCCCTGACCCCCACCCCAAGCTGCAGGTCCCCAGCCGCCCGTGCACACGCTCCCCCCTCATCCTCCCCTCTCCCACAGGTGACGGGGAGGGGGTAGATCCTCCCCACCGAGCAGCCCCCGCTGCCCTCTCACGCCCGCCCCGTCGGGGCCGCGACACTGACGCGCGGTTCCGTACCCACGGCGG